ATGAACGCAACATTGTTCACAAGGAAATTATGGATAGGTGCAGTCAATGGCAGTCATCAGGTATGACGTGTTAATGCAAGTATACAAACGGAAGATTTAGCGTCATGGTAAGTTATTATCTTAGTTTACAGACGCCTGCCACAACAGAAGTAGCATTCAGTAAAACTTGTAAATAGTAAATAATATATAGTAAGTACTAATAGTTTTGTTATTACTACTTACTAATATATATATACTATTTTTTAATGTACTACTGTATACTATTTTTAATCTAACTTCTTCTGAAGTGATCCGCATTAGATTTACTATGATGTTGGCCCCTGTCAACCAGGAGCGCTGAACATGATTCTCGATGAGTTTGCAGGAAAAATTAAGCTTTTATTTAACTAATTATCTTTTTGAACCCTCTCCACACGGATTTTACACTCGCTGGACCTTTCCATATATAGTGATATCGCAATCATCATTCTATAGTATTATTCGTAATGGCATCAGTAGTTTGCTCTAAATCATCATCAATTATCATCAGTCGTCGACTCAGTTATCCATTGGAATATTCTGTTCCAACACAATCAATCAGTACAGCATATTTTGGCTTTATCAGATAGATAGAGAGATATACACTTTACTACAGACCTGTGGTTAAATGTTTATTAAATCGCTTTTTTTCATATTTAATTCCCTCCAATTTATCTTATAATGGAACAATTAATACGAATTACTTCTTGTGTTCTTTATTTTTGCTTATCAGGTACAAAAAAGTACAGATGAAAGAAAATGTAGCACTTAATTTGCACTATCACCTGTGCTTTTTAATTTGTTACAGCGCCATCTGCGCATAAAAACAAGAAGTAGAACCTAAAATTAGCTTTGTTGAGTTTGAATGTGAGTGAGCAGACTATACGTGTTGTTATACTACCTTATATAGATGGCGCATTAAATTTGTAAAAATTTATTATGTAGATAAAAGTCTTTCTTTTTAACTCCAAAGTTGAAAGCTTCTTGATGGCAGAATGTTATTGTTTTAAATCACTAACGCACGATGTACACACGCTGACAGCCTTTGAAAAGCCCAGTTAGTGAACACCATGGCATTGAGGATAGTTGTTCGCTATGGCCAACCTACTTCAATCACATAAAAACTGAAATGTTTTTTAATATAAACACTACCATGGACCGTGAACGGCCAAGATAGTATGGTACGGTATGCTGGGCGGAGTCCACACAGCACTGCACAGTGTCGGCATTGTTGCGTGACATTCAGGTACTCACAAAAACAACTGTACTAATAATTTTTAGATAAAAATAAAGTATTCACATTTAACAGATACATTTATCTTGTTCTCGTAGTGATATGATATACTCTAATAGATTTCCTAGCGAGATGTATATCTATTTATGTAAAAATAAAGTGTAAATTTGCGTTACTGACTGTCTACTTACTTACTACACCTATGTACTTTATCGTGTTATGTTTTAATATTCCCTGTATTTTTGGTAGGATGAATAAATAAATTTAAAAAAAAACATCCCCGGCGTGTCCCTCGGTACGTGACGTGACCTCTCTCCGTAGTCCTTACCTACCTAGGCTTCGAGGTTAGGAAGACCGGCACCAATAGCGCAGATCGTACGAGACTGGTCCATACCCTCGCATCCATATCCGCCACGATATCAAAAGGCGAGAAACGTGCCAGAATGGTCGCCGACTTTTTATTTCCCCCTACGTGTCTTTTCTATTAGATAGAAAAAAATATGTACCAAACAATGCCACTGAACTACGTTTAACAGTAAACCAATACATTTATTAAAAGTGCAGTAAAACTAGGAATTCAATTTAGTCTGGTTTATTTATATCTACATATTACAATAATTATATTACATCATACATCATCATACATACATACTTAATGCAAATGAGTGCTAACATAACAGTCAAACGACTCTCATTCCTGTTCATGTTGAAACAACTAACTTTTAGAAAAGTATCGTGTAAAATAATTAATAATTAATTACTAATTATAATGAACTTTCTTTTCTTCATTCCTAAATGTTTTATCCTTCGAGAATAAAGAGAAGAACATTCTAAAGAAAACAACATTATTTCTTTAATTTTGAATGAGTTCAAACAGGAGTTGAAAATACCACACCTATGACATGATTCAGGTTACTTTTACATGTTGGTTAGTGATCCTGATTGCCAAGTCAGAGGTCGTGGGGTCGATTCCCACCCAAGACAAGTAAATATGTGATGAACACGATCGCTTGTTCTGTGCCTGGGTGTAACGTATCTATAATATGTATGTATTTAGATATATATCTATATATATATATATATATTATTATTATATATTATATATATATCTATATATATTATATAGTATATATATATATATATATATATATATTATTCATATAGTATATATATGGAAAAGTGTATTCAGACCATCATTCTGAGTCATTGTTTTCGGTAAAATGTTCTGTCTACTCATTGTGATATCATTTTTCATCATTTTAACTAGAAAAATGGAAAATGAAAAATATTAAAGAATTTTCCGTCAGAAAATTCCAATGATTTTCGACTCAGAATCATGGTCTGAATACACTATTTCAGTATTCGGTACGATGTCCCTTACACCTTGTGTATATATATATATATATGTTTATCAGCAGTCTGGTTACCATAGTACAGGCTCTGCCTAGTTTGGGATCAGACGGCCGTGTGTGAGATGTCTGAGGTTATTATTATTCTTATATAATTCTTGTAAAACTTAGGAGTGTATACTTTGAAGCAGTACGCTTTAGATCTATTGAAATATTGTACTCGACTGTTGAATTACTTGTAATATCTATAGCAAAGCTTTAGCAATAATCCAGCACCCACTTCTCCACCAGTACTTATTTCTAGGTGACACATACCTCAATTTAAAAACTTAGTGATCAGAAAAAAAAGTTTAACATGCAGAAAAAAGCAATAACATTCACTATAATATGAAACTAACAAGAATAGTGTAGTGTGTGATGAAAAGGGCTTCTAAATTATTTTAGCTTTTCTCAATGTATGTCTTGGCCAGTGTTAGTTAATAATAGTGATCTTTAATGTAATTTTTATTTTTCTTACTTATAACCTTTAGTCATGTGAACATGTATCTCAATAAGCAGCTATAACTCTCTATACTTATCGCATTATATATAATTATTTTGATTAAGACTAGAACATTTGACGGTATCTTCAACTTAATAACGAGGTCATTATTGTACAAGACTTTTGAGCGACTTATAATTAACATATATTTACATACATCCTTTCATTTCCTATTAAAATTATTAGGATACTCGTATGAATCAATTCATACAACTATTTCTTAACCACCTTAAAATTAACCGTTTATTTGTCTTTTTACAAATTTTGCCGTATCACTGATTCAGTAGAATGCTAATATTTTACTGATAACCGTATATAAAGGTGTCTCAGTAAGAGTGCACTTTTTCAATTTAGTTTTTTTTTTGTGTGGAAGCCTTGAAATTTGACAGTTGTCAGCTATGTTTATTCCGATTATTAGAAATAGAGCACTTGTCGAAAGAACAACTAATTGTAAAAACTCATTACGCATTTCGCCAAATTTTCAGTCGAGAAAGTGCACCTAATTTGTCAACCATTCGAAGAGTGGTCAAAAAATTTGAAGAAACTAGTTCGATTATGGGTATTAAGAATCCTTTGCGTCAACCTACCGATCGGTCTCTTAAAAACATTGCTGCTGTAAACGAGTGTTACGAATTTTGATAAAAGACCTTCATGCGTACAAGATTCAGCTAATTCAGGAACTCAAACCAACAGAGCAAAGTGTAGTCGATGCCTATTTTTCGAAAAAGTAATCTTCTCCGATGAAGCGCATTTCTATCTGAATGGTTATGTGAATACACAAAATGGCTAAAAACGGCATTCATTACAGGAATATGATAACGGAGTTCTTGTGGCCTCAAATGGACGGCATGGAAATAGACAACATGTGGTTTAAGCAGGACGGGGCAACCTGCCACACCGCTTATGAAACAATCGACTTATTGCTGCAACGATTTCCAGAAAACATTATCTCACGAAATTCTGATGTCAGCTGGCTACCAAGATCGGGCGATTTTTGCATTGGGGTTTTGTGAAATCACGGCTTTATGCGAATAAACCAGAAACAATTCCAGAGCTCTAATTAGAGATTCAACTCGTCATCAATGAGATACAGCCACATCTCTGTGTAAATGTCATGGAAAATTTAATGAAAAAAGTAATCCTGTCATCAGAGTCGTGGGAGCCTTTGGCCGGATATTTTATTCCATACTTAATCGGATAAAAGTCTACTTTACAATCCAATAAAAATATTACAAGTCTTTCATAAAATACGTGTTTTTATTTTAAAATGAAAAAGTGCACTCTTACTGAGACACCTTTATATAAATTATAGGTTTTGTTGAACTAAGTCAAGAATAACCACAAAATAGCACTGGTACAGAAGTTCTACTGAGTAGAACACTTCAAATGAATAGTGACTTTGTTGCGCCATAATCTATTGTCTTTTGGCAATCAATAGTATATATGATGTAATATAAATATCTCGTAACGGTGTTTGTTGACCGATTAAATTTTATTTTTATTTTTAGTACGTATGAGAATAGATCGTAAAGTATTTTTCACCCCCCCCCCCCACTCCCTCTGTTTAATCGCGATTTTAGAATTTTTGTCTGACTGATCTGATAACAATATTTGCCAGGTCAGCTAGTTTAGTATAATAGTAATTGATCAATTGTTTTTTTTATATATTAGATCAAAACGGCTTTATATCAACATATCCAAAATATGAAATACCTTTGTTGAACAAAAACATGAGATAATTAAATAGCCGTCGCTTTAACTTTTCGTACTATCACCGTATTGTCTAGCTAATTGTACTTCATTTTACATAATTTACAACTGCAGTATGGCTTAAAGACGAATACTATTTGAACTATTATCATCTCTCAGTTCTGCAGTACTTTTTAAGTTGCTTATTTTTAAATCCATAATAGGCTAGTTGAGCACATTTTAAAGATCTCCTACTACGCGTACCAAGTTTTTTCTGAGGTTTAGATAACCAGTCCTCTTTTATCATATCAGCTCCCTTTTCGGCAATCATCATGACTGGAGCATTAATATTGCCGTTGGTTATAGTAGGCATTATACTTGCATCTATTACACGCAAGCCTTCTATTCCATATACTCGAAGTCTTGGATCCACCACTGCCATAGGATCACTCGAAGGCCCCATCTTTGCCGTACAAGATAGATGATAAATTGTCATTGTATACTGCCTGATATAGCAGTCCCAATATTCATCTGTGAACAAGGGTAAGTGCTTGCAGTTGGGTACAGGTTTACTGTGAAACCTAGCTCCAAATCGTTTCATTGCTGTCGTTTCTCCTACAGCGATAGCAGATTTTACACCTTCTCTTAAAACTCCAACGTCATCAGGATGCGTCAAGTAATTGTGTACCATAATGGGATAATCTAATGGGTTCTTCGATCGCAGCTTAATAAAACCACGACTCTTAGGCCTAAGCATCATAGGAAATATACCAAAGACGTCTTTATTATTCAGTTCTTCAAACACACTGTTATAGAATTCATCTGTCAGACTATGAGCCTTCTTTACTTGCGTACCACCGTCCGAAGGAGTCGAAGCTGAAGTCATCATGAACTCCATATCTGGCCAGTCTTCAGAAGCATTCGCATACTTAGTATTTATAAACGCCACTACTTCCAAACCTATACTAGATGTTAATGGTCCATCTTCAGTGACAGCGTAACGCAGGGCTGAATTTATGTTTACCAGTCTATTCATAACCAAACTAACTGGGTAATCAATTTTAAAAACGATACCACCAACGGCGATATGATCCTGCAAATTTTTCCCGACTCCAGGAGAATCGTGGATGACGTCGATTCCAACTTGCTGTAAATGGTCCGATGGCCCTACTCCTGATAGCAGAAGGAGCTGCGGCGAAGCGACTGCGCCGGCAGCTAAAATTACTTCTCGCGAAGCATAGACAACTTGTCGCTTACCATTTCTCAGAAATTCCACACCAAAAGTTCTCATAGTTGTCTTGTCTATAAGAACTTTCGTAACATGCGAAAAAAGAGCAACATGAAGATTCTGTCGTAATCTTACTGGCCGCAAAAAAGCTTTTGCTGCAGAACATCTAGTTCCTCTGCGCATCGTAAACTGGTACCATGCGTAGCCGGTTTGTTGCGCTCCATTAACATCGACAATATCATAGCCCATTTCTTCTCCCGCCTGTAGTAATGCTGCTCCTATAGGCGTATTGTATGGAGCATCTTGTACAGTTAGATATCCACCTGAAAATTTACATACGGACGTGTTAAAATATATTAGAAGTAGTGGAACAGGTATCTTGACTGACTAAGATTGTTTATGCAACTGGCTGACCCTACTTTCGCAGTTATCGTTTTTTAGCACGGGACACTCGATGAGAAAGTGACTACCGCCGCCCATGAACGCCTGAAATACAGGAGTCACAAGCACGTTGCCGGGCTATGCGGTTCTTTTACTTGTAAACTGAAAAGCGGTAAGCGGTTAGTGAGGTCATAAAACCTATTGCGTTTAATTTATAACGTAGGTCTAGCGTAAGTCCTTCCGTCCGTCTGTCTATTTTACCCTGTATTAACTATTTACTACGTAAAGAAGTAATACTGAAGAAGTACCTAGTTTTGTTTAATCGCAGTCTTTTGTAAGGTGTTTCCAGGTATATTATACACAAAAAGCAATATTATATCGTTTGTTCGTAAGTACTTTATGTACTGCTGTGTCATTCATCTGATCAAAAAAATTTGCATACATGTTTCCAAATGTACCGAGAAGGACATACGGACATCTTTAAAACTCTTTTGTCAAGAAAAACAGTACTGTTTTCTAGGGTTGATAAAATACTGTCCCTGCCAACAATCATTGCTACCATGCTGGCGGGTGAGGAGAGCTGGGGCGCAGTGGTCTCTTTCTGTGAAGCTGTAATGCTCCAGGAAGAGACGCTGAATGGGATCGGGAGAGGGTCGATCCCGAGCGAAGAAGATGTCAGTGGTGGCATGACCGCGACCCGCGACCCGGGGACCTCTGGTGGCAGATTGATTACTGCGGTAAGGGACACGTTGGCGGCCTGATTGTACCAAAATGAGATCGGGCCGCAAGACTTAGTGATAGGCGGAGGGAAGCCTTTGGCTTCCTTCGGGATAGGGTCTAGTAAGCGCGGCGTCGTCGAAAAACCACATACTCCTGGCGGCTGCGTCCCCTAGGAGGCGTAGATCCATAGGGATTTTTTTAAAGGAATCACGTCACCTGATGGAAAGTAACCATCGCCACCCATGAAAGTCTGCAACTCAGGAGTCACAAACGCGTTACCGGCCTTTTAGGAAGGAGTACTTTTAGGAGGAGCTCTTTTCTTGAAGGTTTGAAGGTCGTAATTTGCTAGTAAGGTAGTCATACAAAAATATAATTTGAATTAATGAAAGGAAAGTTACCTGTGCCATGATGTTTACTATCTTTCGCCAAGTAGGGATTCCGTTGGTCTTCAGATTTCTTAAAATAAGGCAGCACATCTTCAAAGCCCCATCCAGGGTTGCCGAAAGATTCCCACTGGTCAAAGTCACGCTTATTCCCTCTGATGTAAAGCATGGTGTTCAGAACTGAAGAGCCTCCAAGAACTTTGCCTTTAGTCCACGAGCAGCGTTTATCTATCATAGCTTGGCAAGCAGTATCTTGGGGTTGTGTTCTGCAAATGTTAAGATAAGTTGAGCTTGAAAATGTTACATTTAATTTTTATAATAATTGTATGGATTATTTCGCCAAATAGGTGTATTAGTCATAAATTAATTATAATAATTTTAAAATAATTATCCTATTATTAAAAGGATGCAAATCTCATCACGAATATTTTAAATTGAGATAGCTTTAAATCTTAGAGTAATGAACTGATAGTATCTTACCAAAAATAGAAGTGAATTGTATGAACTTAATAGTAAAAAACAACATCAGAATGATGTTTTAAGGACGGCTGTATTTTTAAAATTTTCTCGTTTTCTGTGTGAGTACAGTTTTTACCTTATCTTAATGTTTTTAGAGTAAAGTTATAAAAAATATATAAATGCTCACCGGTACTTCCAGTCTAATTTACTTTTATGCAGATACAGAGACAATAAAGGAACATCGCTGATATCAGTTTCATGACCACCAGCTTCCAGAAGTAACACGTTCCAATTTTCAACCTCTGATAATCTGTTCGCTAAAACTGCACCGGCTGACCCTCCACCTACAACTATGAAGTCATATTTCTCTCGAAGGTACTTCTGGTTTAAAGGCCGTTGTTCAGGGTCAAGAACCTCGTAGTTGAAGTAAGCCATGGCTGCAAGCATGATCGGGATAAAAGTAAGCTTGCTGAGGCCGCCAATAGTTAGCGCCGTCTTGGCAGCAGCTGCAACTACAGATGCCGCTCCCATAGCTACTTAGTGTTGCATTTTCTGGGTCTGTAATGAATAAGATAAAACATTAGAAGCTTTCGTCTAACCACTAGCATATATATGACCAGTGTTTTTTGGGCAATTTGTTGTTGTTTTAAGGGCAATAAGAATTCAACACTCTATGTGTGATTTCATATTACTGGTGGTATGACTATGAGAGAATTTAATTACAAAAAAAAAATCAAAACTATTTTTACTCTACCGGACCCAACATAAAACACCAGTCTTTGCAAAAACATAAACACAATGGGTCAAAAAGGCAGTTCAAGAGAAACTAATTAAATATCATTCATGATATTAATAAACGAAATAACGCAAACATTAAGAAATTATCTTACTATAAAACTTCTTACGATGCGATACTTCTTACAAAGAAAGTATCTTAAACAGAAACAAAAGATATATTTTAAATGATATAGAGATTTAGATATTAATTGTTTTTAGAAATGTTAATTCCATTTGCAAAAAGAATCCCATCTGCCAGATCTACCATCTGGCGATAGTTGTTTCTGATTTACGTCTGCGAGAGCAGGGGACCTCCTCAGACAATTCTAATGGTCTTTGTAATTGTGTCTTTTTAACAAAAATATCAGTTATTATCAAGGGTTAGGCCTGTTTGTCTTGATTGAAACTACTATTAATTTAAGCAACGCCAATTTTTTTTTTTACGTGTGGAATGTGGGCAGTCACGCCACCGGGGTTTGCAGCGGGGTGGTGTGTAGGAATCGGACGGACTAAAACCACACGATGTGTCACTCTGCGCCTGTAGAACTGAGAACTGCTATTATTAAACATACGGACCCCTCCTAGCCCCTGCCTGCAATAGCGCGGGCACCATCTTCGAGTACATTCTCCATTTAGGCGACGTCCGGCACAAGCGAACGTTGCCTCGTCGCGTCTGGCCGTTATGGCGGGTGGAGGGGAAAATCCGTCCCGTCCACCCGCGGCCACACTCAGGGTAGCCCAGCGCCTCAATACGCTAGACTACCCTCTCGAAAGTTCGCCCCCCGGGCTGTGACCAAAGTATCAGCGGCGCTATAAATTACAGCCCCGGGGGAAAATCAACTCTAAGGGCCAAGTCGTACCCTATATACCACAGGAGGGGTCTAAGAACAGACTCCTGTGGAACACCGCACGACACCTCAGATTACGATCTCGGTCCTCGTATACGACGGTAAGCTCCTCTAATTAGTCTGCCACTTTGGCACACACTTTGGCTCCCCATAATAGTGGAGTGCTTACCTGATGCATCTAAATGGCAGACTATTGAATGCGTTGGGTATGTCCAATGACACCACCAACAACACGCCGCGGCGTGTTGTTGGCGGTGTCACAGCTCACCGCCTCTTCGGTCACGGCCCTCAGGCGCAGCGCAGCGCCGACCGTCGAACGCCCCGCTCGAAAACCGAATTGGGAGTCCGACATATCGGGTCCCACTTCGTAGAGGTGGCGGACGATGCGGGCAGAGAGTACCGTTTCAAACAATTTACCCGCCTCGTTCAGCAACACGAAAGGCCTGTAGGCCGCGACCGAATCGGCAGGCGGTCCCGGCATCCTTAACAGGACCAGCTTCCCTCTCTTCCAGCACTCAGGGAAACGCTCGGGCGCCAAGCTAGCGTCAAACCCGTCTCTAAGGCGGTCTGACATGTGGTCGAGAGCTCGGGCCAGCACACGGTTAGGTAACCCGTCTGGACCGGGGGCGGTCTTCTTGGAACGGATCCGTAAAGAAACGCTAACCCTAACTGTACCTAATTAAAGTATGACCGAGTGCATAACACAGTATTACTTTCCAAACTGGAAAGGTTTTTGGCAAGATAGTTTTGTAACAGTATTATATAACTTCAACCACTTATATGTGAGAAGGCGTAAACTGATGAGTTTCCATAACTTGTAAAAATATAAATAGTTTGTTTATCTCGGGAATCGATCCTCGAGTATTTATTATTGCCTGTTATTTGCCGAAAAACACATTAGCTGTGCTGTGCTTTATGTATTTTAAAAAGGTGGTTTAAATATCAGTGGAAACAACGTAAGTGGAACATAGAACCACCATTTTCTTAAAAGTTGCTTGCTTAAAAAACAATGCCTTGCGATTTGCAGGAACTGATTCACGAAATCTACGCAAGCTGAGTCGCGTACTAAATAAATATCAAATCGTTTGCCTGTAAACCACATCCATACCTCTTAAATTATTGAACAACTCACATGACCATATAAATTCCCAATGCGCAATGATAACGTTAAACCGCAACCGGTTTCTTCACTTGCATTTTAATAGAGGCACTTTAAAGTTAAAAGTCATGTAAGCATGTACGAGTATTTCGTAGTTTACCGTGGGAGACGCCTGCTTCGGCAGAAAAAAAAAGAACGCGGCCAACCCCACTCAGAGGACAAAAGTGATGAGGCCACCTCTCCTAAAGTGGGCACAAGCCGCCGAGGGGCTCGCGAGCCCGTGTCTCCTTCTGGGCCGACCTCCCAAAACTGGTTGGGGGGGGGGGGGGCAGAACCCCCCAGACATAAATTATGGTAGGTAAATAAATGTAGCAAAAAGGTTTTTCTACCATATTTTGCAGTATAATACCAAAAATATACATTCACCCAGCGTAACTATGCTGTTCTATTAATGAATCTGCGGTCCGTTGGTTTACCAATGCCAACGATGACAATTTGAAGAAATGAGGTAACGGCCGATTCGAAGAACGACAAACCGGAACTTTTCGAAAGCGTTACTAGGCGTTTACCAAGTGTGACAGACTTATCCAAAAATGTCCCGTATCGTAATACCTCGCCACTTGTTTTGTTTGTATCTGATGATGCTTCCTCAGATAACATAATAATACTATAATACTAACTTAACACGTCTCACACACGGCAGTCTGAATTCAAACTAGGCAGAGCCTGTACTTTGGTAACCAGACTGCTCATAAACACACTTATAACGTTTGTAAATACACACATATTATAGATAAATTACACCCAGACACAGAACAAATGACTGTGCTCACCACACAATGTTTATTCTGAACCCATGACGGGTTCGATTCCCACCCAGAATAAATAACTCCGACTAAGCAGTCAGGGTCTAGTGGTTAGTGACTCTGACAACTGGCCTGTCAAATATATGCGACAATATCAGGTCGCTTTACAAACTTATCATAAATACAACATTAGTTATTGCTTATTTTTGTAAACCGTGATATAGTTATGCTTCGGCACATGTTGGCTCGCTCGATCGGCCTAGGCCTCAGCAGTGGTCCAGGCCCAACCCCCTTCCCCTCTAATTCTGGGGCACTCAAAACGGCAACGCACGTCTCTTGACTTGCAGGTATTCATGGGCGGCGGAAGTCACCTTTAATTAGATGATACATCTGCTCATTGGCCTACCATAAAAATGGTCTCCTAACTTTGAACTTGCGATTGGCAACGTCATCAAGGAGTCATCGTGTGCAATATGTCCAATATATGTCCATACCTATATATATGACAGTAATTACAACATTTACAACATTGCTTTACGTAACTAGCTATTACATAAAGAAACAACGCAATGGCATTGCCTTGTGCTTGCTACGTCGACTCTTCACTTGTTTACATATTAAACTTTTTAGCACAAATATGTATGTGTAATAGCTATCCATCATATGGATCGTGTGTCATGGGAATCGAATGGTTTAAAGTTAGTTAACAAATGTGATTGAGATATCACTTTCATTTAAATTGCATTTATCTTTCATTTATATTTATTATTCTATTCTTTGTATGTAGGAGTCGCCACAAGTACGTGCTTGTGGCGACTCCCACATACAAAGAAACAGAAACATATTACAGTGCCATCAGTAACTCCTGAATGAGAATGGCTAATCCTGTATCGCGATGTTAAGAATTCTCTCGCCGAGTAGCATGTATACAACTTCCCAACATCAACCGTTGGGCCGCGGCCCGCCAAGCATGATCACCTCGCCTGGTCGGAGGATCCTCTCTTTGTGTTGGAGGGTCATGACACCGGTTCTGCCACAAGCTCATAGTTATTTGAGGCTCCTTTTAAACAAAATTTCAGCACAGAAGTAACCTTTAGAGTTTAAAAATAGTAAGTAAATTAAATGAAAATGAAATTTAAAATTTTATGATTTTTTCATAAAATTTCAAATTTGTACAAATTGTTTCAAAAAATCTAGCTTAATTCACTTTTACTATTCGTAAACTCTGCTACATGGGAACAATGTAAATGCTTGCAATGATAGTTAAGTTTATACCGGAAATGAAAAAGCTTGATTTATAATATAAATAGTTCAATGATAAAACAAAAAGTTTGAGAGTTGATGGTAGATCTATGACCATCAGGCAATTTGTAGTTTTTATTTATGGCAACATTTTTATTGGATTTAACAATAGTTAAACTTGAAACATAGAGTAGATAGATTTTCCTTCCACGTGTAAAGTAATTATTTCGGTGCTTTTCACCCGGTGAATAAGTAATAAGGTTATTTACCAATGGTCTTGAGCAATTACTGTAATAAGCTAGTATTAAGTAATCTTTGTGGAAGAAAGAATAAACTTTATCTTATCTTATCTATCTTACCCATTAAACAAACCCAAGATTGGAAGTGACTACTTAGTAGGAGTGGGGTCTATCTTTATTTGAGGTCGGCATATGAAGTTATTCTTCTTTCCTTCTCCTCTGTAACTCTTCAGTTCTCTGATTACTCCTTTTCCAGCCATATCCTGTTTTATGTTGCCTTACCTCCTTTTTAAAGGAAAAAATAAACTGCACGGAAAAATGTCAGTTCATTCGTTCGCGCATTTTTGTCGATGTCTAACTGTTCGTATATGGCAAAGGTCACAGACAAACATCGGTGTCTCAATTATAACTCTGTCGGTTTCCGGCTGACAGCAGTGTTTAGCCTGTGAACACGCCCAGGTCGAAACGTCAGTAAAAAAGTCATGTAATAGTCATTGATCGCGTTAATTCCTGCAAAAAA